GGGTAAGTGTGGTGATAAGGGTAGGGTTAGGGTAGTGAAAGGGTTGGGTTAGGTAGGGTAAGGGTAGTGTAAGTGGTTGGGTAGGGTAGGGTAGGGTAAGGGGTATGGGTAGGGTAGGGTAGGGTAGTGTTAGAGATTAGGGGAGGTAGGGTAGTGTAAGGGTGGGGTAAGGGTAGGGTAGGGTAGGGTAGGGTTAGGTAGAGAGATAGGGTAGGGTAGGTAGTGGGAGGTAGGGTAGGGTAGGGTAGGGTAGTGTAAGGGTAGGGGAGGGTAGGTGTAGGGTATGGTAGGGGAGGGCAGGGTTGGGGAGTGGTAGGGCAGGGTAGGGGTAGGGAAGTGTAGGGGTTAAGGGTAGGTAGGGGTAGGGTAGGTTAGGGTAGTGTAGGGGTAGTGTATGGGTAATGGGTAGGGTAGGGTAGGGTAGTGGTAAGGGTAGGTGTAGGGTAGGGAGGGTGGGGTAGGGTAGGTAGGTAGGGGTAGGGAGGTAGGGTAGGGTAGGGTAGGGTGGGGTAGGGTAGGGTAGGGGTAGGGGTAGGATAGGGTAGGGTAGTGTAGGGGTAGGGTAAGGTAGGGGTAGGGTTAGGGTAGGGTAAGGTAGGGTAGGGTATGGTAGTGTAGGGTAGGGTAGGGTAGGGGTAGGGTAGGGTAGTGTGGTAGGGTAGGGTAGGGTAGGGTAGTGTAGGGGTAGGGTAGGGTAGTGTAGGGGTAGGGTAGGGTAGGGTAGGGTAGGATAGGGTAGGGTAGTGTATGGGTAGGGTAGGGTAGAGTAGGGTAGGGTAGGGTAGGGTAGGGTAGGGTAGGGTAGGGTAGGGTTGGGTAGTGTAAGGGTAGGGTAGGGTAGGGTAGGGGTAGGGTAGGTTAGTGTAGGAGTAGGGTAGGGTAGGGTAGGGTAGGGTAGGGTAGTGTAGGAGTAGGGTAGGGTAGGGTAGGGTAGGGTAGGGTAGGGGTAGGGTAGGGTAGGGTAGTGTAGGAGTAGGGTAGAGTAGTAGGGTAGGGTAGGGTAGGGTAGGGTAGGGGTAGGGGTAAGGTAGGGGTAGGGTTGAGTTCAAAAAGGGCCCAACATACAAACAACTGAACACCCCGCAACTATCACCATCCCTTACAGTTCAATTAAAAACAGCTACCCAAATCTACCCAAATAATACAGCTAAAAATACAAGTCAATCACCCAAACTAATGCACCCGTAACATAACATAAATCAAAACATACAGTTATCGCGTAAACCTGTACCTCTAGTCTACTATTATAAATCTTAAAAAGTCCGCCGCCGCCGCCGTCGGGGTTACGCAGTCGGTGTTACTCCCAAAAACGCTTATTGCGGCGCCGTCGATTGACGCAGGAGGGTGAAATTTTCACGACTCGTGGGTCACGTAATTCAACAGGTCGTATTAAATTTTGGGCACGATGCGGCCAGGGGTGCACCCGTGGCGCGTGCTCATGTGCGCCATAGGGTTAGCATTAGAATCGCGACCGGCGCCGAGCAGAGGGCACGTGCTTTAGGCTCAGTTGTTCGCTTAAAAAACTGAGTGAAAAGCATCAGAGCCGGCAGGTCGTTGACCTTTGACAACGAAGGCCGACACAGGGCACCGCTCGCCAAGGGGATTCGCCAGTAAATACAATTAATTTGCTTTTGCAATATCTCAGCCGTTTCTGGGATGATTTAGCTGAAACTTGGACTGTCGGTGGTAGTGTAGTTTAGGGTAGGGTAGGGTAGGTAGGGTAGTTGTAGGGTAGGGTAGGGTAGGGTAGGGTAGGGTAGGGGTAGGGTAGGGTAGGGTAGGGGTAGGTTAGGGTAGGTTAGGGTTGGTTAACCCGCGCCGTGCTGGGGGGGGCGTTTTTACGCCCCCCCTCAGGTTTTTCGCGAATATCTCAAAAACGGCGGCGCGCAGCGCCGCCGTTTTTTGTACACGTGTTCCTACATCATTTCCGCACATGTTGTGAAAATTTCAGACCTAGGCCGTTCAAGGTCAGGTCACCAGGTCACGTCAAGTGACCTTACCTCAGAAAAAGTTCAAAGGCTCGCTATAGCTACACCGACTGAACGATCACTTTGAAACTTTCAGCGATTGATATGAGTAACAGTATGTATAAAATGTATATCTCGGATTTTTGATATCTGTGACCTAAGGTCAGGTCAATTTTGCGACCTCTCCATTATAAGTCAATGGGAGAAAATTGAAATGCGCCTCTTTTGGACGAATATCGTTCAAAACGCTCTCAAACATCGGTTCATAGGTAAACATGACACACTGAATAGGAAAAATGCACCTGTGACCCCTCTGTGTGCCCCTGAGGTCATCTCAGGTCATGAACGGTCGCCAGCAGTTTTTTGGCTATAACTTTTGATAGAGACGTGCTAGAGCGGTGAAAACACGTCAGATGTGTTCAGCTCGACGATACGGATCGACTGATATGCAACATGACCCTTTTCGGTCAGGTCATGACCTTGACCTGAGGTCAAATTTTCATAATGACCTTTCAAGGGCAACAAATAGTTCATTCGACGCGTCTCGACGAGAGGAACACGATGCTGGCAAAAGTAATGTCATGGCGCTTATGAGTCAAAAGTTATTGACGAAAAAACGTTTTTCGTAAAAACGGCTATTTTTGGAGTTTTTGCCCTCTGGAGGCTAAACCGTTGACCTGAGGTCAAATCTGAGAACATTACTCAGAAAGGTCTGTAAAAGGGCTATCGAATGCGCTTTTCCGCGGCGCTGTAGCTCTATCGGTTCCCGAGATAGCCGTTGGCAGTTTCCAAAATGTTGAAATAGTCAACATTTTACCTTTGGTGACCTCTGGTGACCTGACCTTTGACCTGACCCAAAAAATGACCGAAGTGTTTTCGTCCTTATTTTTGACGCTCTTTCGATTGCCGCTTACCGCGTGTCGCTACGTGGCCCAGGAGCCGAGTTAGACGGGGGGCGTGAAAACGCCCCCCAGCACTCGGCGGAAAGTTCAGGCCACCAGCACGGCGCGGGTTAAGGTAGTGTAGGGTAGGGTAGGGTAAGGGTAAGGGTAGGGTAGGGTAGGGTAGGGTAGGGTAGGGTAATGTAAGGATAGGGTAGGGTAAGGTAGGGTAGGGTAGGGTAGTAGGGTAGGGTAGGGACTAGGGTAGGTAGGGTATGGTAGGGTTGGGTAGGGTAGGGTAGGATAGTAGGGTAGGGTATGGTAGGGTAGGGTAGGGTATGATAGGGTAGGGTAGGATAGGGTAGGGTAGGCTAGTGTTAGGTAGGGTAGGTTAGGGTAGGGTAGTAGGGTAGGGTAGGGTAGTATAGGGTAGGTTAGGGTAGTAGGGTAAGGTATGGTAGTGTAAAGGTAGGGTAGGATTGGGTAGGGTAGTGTAAGGATAGGGTAGGATAGGGTAGTAGGGTAGGGACTAGGGTAGGTAGGGTAGGGTAGGGTAGGGTAGGGTAGGGTAGTAGGGTAGGATATGGTAGGGTAGGGTAGGGTAGGGTAGGGTAGGGTAGGGTAGGGTAGATTTAGGTAGGGTAGGCTAGGGTAGGGTAGGGTAGTAGAGTAGGGTAGGGTAGGGTAGGGTAGGGTAGGGTAGGGTAGGGTAGGGTAGGGTAGGGTAGGGTAGGGTAGGGTAGGGTAGGGTAGAGTAGGGTAGGGTATAGGGTAGGGTAGGGTAGGGTAGGGTAGGGGTAGGGTAGGGGTAGGGTTGAGTTCAAAAAGGGCCCAACATACAAAATACTTGAAGCAACTATCACTATCCCTTACAGTTCAATTAAAAACAACTACCCAAATCTACCCAAATAATACAGCTAGAAATACAAGTCAATCACTCAAACTAATGCACCCGTAACATAACATAAATCAAAACATACAGTTATCGCGTAAACCTGTACCTCTAGTCTATATTATAAATCCTAAAAAGTCCGCCGTCGGGGTTACGCCCAAAAACGCTCATTGCAAAGCCGTCGATTGACGCAGGGGGGTGAAATTTTCACGGCTCGTGGGTCACGTCATTCAACAGGTCGTATTAAATTTTGGGCACGATGCGGCCAGGGGTGCGCCCGTGGCGCGTGCTCACGTGGTGTGCCATAGGGTTTACACTAGAATCGGCAACAGGCTATTGCTCGGGAACGGTAAGGGCTACGGGGGTGAAATTTTCGCTGTAAGTCGGACGCGTGCACTCAATTGTCGTATTAAATTTTCGAGGGTGTGGGTTCAGCGGTGTGCACGTGGTGCGGCCGCGACCGGTGCCGAGCAGAAGGCACGTGCTTTAGGCTCAGTTGTTCGCTTGCCAAACTGAGTGGAAATAATCAGAGCCGGCAGGTCATTGACCTTTGAAAACGAAGGCCGACACAAGGCACCGCTCGCCAAGGAGATTCGCCAGTAAATACAAATTAATTTGATTTTGCAATATCTCAGCCGTTTCTGGGCCGATTTAGCTGAAAGTTGGACTGTCGGTGGTAGTGTAGGGTAGTGTAGTGTAGGGTAGGGTAGGGTAGGGTAGGGTAGGGTAGTGTTGGGTAGGGTAGGGGTAGGGTAGGGTAGGGTAGGGTAGGGTAGTGTAAGGGTAGGGTAGGGTAGGGTAGGGGGTAGGGTAGGGTAGTGTAGTGTAGTGTAGGGTAGGGTAGTGTAGGGGTAGGGGTAGGGTAGGGTAGGTTAGGGTAGTGTAGGGTAGGGTAGGGTAGGGTAGGGTGAGGTTAGGGCAGGGTAGTGTAAGGGTAGGGTAGGGTAGGGACTAGGGTAGGGTAGGGTAGGGTAGGGACTAGGGTAGGGTAGGGTAGGGTAGGGACTAGGGTAGGGTAGGGTAGGGTAGGGTAGTAGGGTAGGGTATGGTAGGGCAGGGTAGGGTAGGGTAGGGTAGGGTAGTAGGGTAGGGTATGGTAGGGCAGGGTAGGGTAGTGTAGGGTAGAGTTAGGTAGGGTAGAGTTAGGTAGGGTAGGGTAGGATAGGGTAGGGTAGGGTAGGGTAGTAGGGTAGGGTAGGGTAGGTAGGGGGTAGGGTAGGATAGGGTAGGGTAGGGGTAGGGTAGAGGTAGGGTAGGGGTAGGGTTGAGTTCAAAAAGGGCCCAACATACAAAACACTGGAACACCCCGCAACTTTCACCATCCCTTACAGTTCAATTAAAAACAGCTACCCAAATCCACCCAAATAATACAGCTAAAAATACAAGTCAGTCACCCAAACTAATGCACCCGTAACATAATATAAATCAAAACATACAGTTATCGCGTAAACCTGTACCTCTAGTATGGTTGCTAAATTCGAATTCAGCTCCAAAAACTGGTCTAGTAACATGTAAAACTCGAAAAAGTGAACCGAGGTCATCAAAGGTCAATGACCTGACCTGACCTTCAGGTGACCTTGACACCCACCCTTATGCATGGGGGCAACATCATATCACATGTTTGAACGCTTGAAACCACGAAAAGACTGCAAACGCGCGGCTAATGCGAGCCGACATACGCCGAATCGCGATTCCGGCCAAACATGGTCTCGAAAAGTAGGTCACAGGTCAAAGATCATTCGGGTCAGGGTCATGAAATTTTCAGGGTTGGTGTAAAATTGATGAACGCGAGGGTACTGAAAGTTTCGTCGCGATCGGCCGCTTTTTACGCGAGTTATTTGCGAAAAACCATGGGGGGGTCCATTCGACCCCCCCCCCCTATACGGGCGAGGGTTAAAAAGCAAAACCAACCACTGTTTTACTGGAGAGCCGTACACGCGCACGCGCACGCACATACACTGACCATGAGGAGGACAGTGGAGAGTTGCAGCAGGAACTGTGACGTCACGTCGTCGCTGGTGCACGGCGCCTCTGTGTCGAAGAAGTTGACGGGCCAGGCGTCGATGTGCACCGGCTCCCGCCGTTTCCTGAAGATGTCACAGTGCAGAAGAGCGCCGTCACCAAACAAGATCACAAATCAACCTCGTAGTACCCAGTTTACAATGCCAACAGTTTCGTTAACCGATGCTCGTTTGCTAAGTGTAAAATTCCAACACCAGGGGCACAGCGTGTGACTGTCGGCTAATACCGAGAGGTGCCGCTGACGCTCGACTAGGGTTCGAGCCGGGAGAGTCTGCCAGCCAGCAGCGCCCGCTACTCACAGCCGGGCCGCCAGCTCCTTCTTGTTGAAGTTGTGGAAGTTGCGACAGAGGCAGACGTTTTTGTCCATCTTGATGAGGTCCCGGACCATCTGGACGTACTCGTCGGCGGACAGCTGCCCGTCCTGGTCGGCGCCAGTGCGCAGTCGGTCCGGGTGGAACGCCGAGTCGGCGGCTGACTGGAGGTCCGACATGCGCAGCACGTCCAGCTCCCGGCTACTGCCGCGCACCGACACACACCGACAGCGTGAGTGGGGACACACACGGACACACACACCGACAGCGTGAGTGGGGACACACACGGACACACACCGACAGCGTGAGTGGGGACACACACGGACACACACCGACAGCGTGAGTGGGGACACACACGGACACACACACCGACAGCGTGGGTGGGGACACACACGGACACACACCGACAGCGTGAGTGGGGACATACACGGACACACACCGACAGCGTGAGTGGGGACAAACACGGACACACACACCGACAGCGTGAGTGGGGACACACACGGACACACACCGACAGCGTGAGTGGGGACACACACGGACACACACACCGACAGCGTGGGTGGGGACACACACGGACACACACCGACAGCGTGAGTGGGGACACACGGACACACACCGACAGCGTGAGTGGGGACACACACGGACACACACCGACAGCGTGAGTGGGGACACACACGGACACACACCGACAGCGTGAGTGGGGACACACACGGACACACACCGACAGCGTGAGTGGGGACACACACGGACACACACCGACAGCGTGAGTGGGGACAAACACGGACACACACCGACAGCGTGAGTGGGGACACACACGGACACACACCGACAGCGTGAGTGGGGACACACACGGACACACACACCGACAGCGTGGGTGGGGACACACACGGACACACACCGACAGCGTGAGTGGGGACACACACGGACACACACCGACAGCGTGAGTGGGGACACACACGGACACACACCGACAGCGTGAGTGGGGACACACACGGACACACACCGACAGCGTGAGTGGGGACACACACGGACACACACCGACAGCGTGAGTGGGGACACACACGGACACACACCGACAGCGTGAGTGGGGACAAACACGGACACACACCGACAGCGTGAGTGGGGACACACACGGACACACACCGACAGCGTGAGTGGGGACACACATGGACACACACCGACAGCGTGAGTGGGGACAAACACGGACACACACCGACAGCGTGAGTGGGGACACGGCTGTATCGGGCAAACGGCCGGCCGGACCACTACACTGGCCGGTCCGCTGTAGCCCGTCCATAACTACTAGTAGGATTGTAGCAGGGGCGTCGCCGACGGGGGGGGGGGGGGGTCGCAGGGGTCGCGACCCCCCACTCATGAGAACCGGGAGGGGGGTCGACCCCCCACTTTTGACGATGCTGAGTATGCCTGTTTGAGCTATCTTGTCAGTGAAGTTGGCGTCAGTAACATCACCAAATACAACGTCAGATTCAAAATCGCTTCAAGAGCTCCCTAGTCCGTGGAACATCAGCATGACAATATATTAAAGTAGTCACTATTCTAGTCCCTTTTTATCCCTCAAAGGAGTGGGCGCGCCAAAACTGACCCAATCGTTCGTCTGAACTCTGATTGTCAAAATAATGGTTGCAGTCGATTCGTCGGATGACGTATCAGCAACTACGAGGTACCTACCTAGCCTCAGCCCTGGCTAGTGGCTACCGTCCGACCTGCCTGCATAGGGGGAAGGGGGTCAGATAGTGGACCCCTCTCGGGCTTTCCCAATAAGACGCGCAAAAGGAGCATATTGCAACGAAACTTCCAGTGACCTCGAGTTAACCCACGAGCCGCTGGGGGGGGGGGCATAAAGTTGCCCCCCCCCTTTACGTTTTGTGAAATATCTCCGAAACCTGATGAGCTACGAACGTGAAACTTGACATAGCTTCAAGTGAATACCTAGGCAATGTTTGAGGAAAGTTTGGTGGTTGTAGCACCTAAGATGACGTCACAGTGACGTCATAAAGTTTTGTCGTTTTCCGATATGGACCGTTTCTGATGACGCTGAGCATGAAACTCAACTGTAAATGAACTAGACAGCACCTGCTGTCATCCTAAAACATCTAACTACACTTCCATCTAGTTTCTGACCAATAATCGACCCTTTATATTCGGTCCCATATATCTGATGTATCGTGAGGGATATGAGAGTCGCAAATCTATAATTTCACTTATGACGTCACTGTGACGCCATTTCAAATGGGATCGACACCACATTTGGACACAACCTCGGCTAGGTATTCAGGAAGACGTGTGCAAAGTTTCGCTTCTCTATCTCTTCGCGTTGCGACGATATCGTCGCAGAAGTAAGGGGGGGCAACTATATGCCCCCCCAGCGGCCGGCGGGTGGCGCGGAGGCCCAGCGGCCGCCGGGTTAATCAATTTTACACCTACCCTAAAATTTATTGGACCTGATTCGAATATAGATAACCTTTTTTATAAATTTAGTCCGAATCTTTTGATGGGAAGGATTCACAAGGACAGAGCCACCGCTAAGCGAAGCTTGGTTCACTTTTTCGAGTTTTATTTGCTTCCACTTACACTTGTACATAGTTTTTGGAGCTGATTTCGAGTTAAGCGCCCGTTTGAACATAAGAAGTAGGTTTGATAAATGGTGGTTATGTAGCATGTTACGAAGCTATCGGTGGTGATTGTCACCTACTCTAGATGGCCGGCAGGAATCCTGTTGGTCGGCCTGACCTGACCCGACCCGATCTACCCCAAATGCATGGAGTCATCATCGTTGTTCAAAACTAACATCGAAACCGTACTCGAGACCCCGATATCAGCTATGGCTCACAAAGTTCTAGCAGGTCCCGATTTTCCCTACTTTTGGGCGTTCACGTAAGATGACCCGGCCAAGACCTTGAAATTGGGCATCATCGGCTTTCTCTCATCACGGGCAGCATTCTCGCTTTTCGGCGAAGCTCTACCTCGATCAGGGGCCGAAAGCATACCTTAGCGTTACGTTGGTAAAATCTTTACTTTAACAACGACCCGTAAAACACGAATAAGAGCTACAGCGACACAGAAAGCGTATTCGATAACTTTTTTAAAGCTCTTTCGCCAACTTCGCCTCAGATTTGACTTCGGGTCTATGGCTTGTGTACCACAGAGGCCAAACAGATAAGCGGACGGATTTTGCCGAAACATTTGTTCTGTGACAACCCATGATTCAAAGAATGTGTATGATATTCAAGTTATCACCATTCACCATCGTGTTTGTTTCGTCGAAACGCGTCGCATGGCTTACAATTTGAACTTAAAAACTTACCTATAAAATTTGACATCAGGTAAAGGTCATGTCGATCCTGACCGGAAAAGAACCTGCTGCATATTGATCGATCTGTGTTGCTGAGCTGAACACACTCCAGGCAACCTGTCATCGCTCTACAGCGAATTCGTCAAAAGTTGTCGAAAATGTGTCAGATGACCAAATGACTGACCATTCGAGTCATCACTGGTCGTTAGCTGCACCTGTCCCTAAAGAGCCGAGGTGCCATGGCTACAAAAGTATCTAGCTTTTTAGCATATTCGTTCAAAACAGAGGACATTCGTGCTTCATCCCATATCTTATCATGATGATTGGTGAGGTCACATATTTGACCTGACTTCACTTCTCAGATGTAGAATCCTAGAGTCATTGAATCCCAGAGTCAGAGTCATTGAACTGTTGGCACTTATAATCCCATTCATTACACCAAATTCAGACTTAAAGGAGATAATCTATAGGAATGACAAGATTGCAGTTTTTAGAGGCATTAAAACTGAACTTGACATGACATTGTGACCTGACTTCAGGTGACCTGTGCTTGATTTTTATTCCCGATGCCAAATTGATATACAATAAGATATACCGCCGCTGCGCGCCGAGGTTTTTCTCAACACACGACGAAAACCGGGAGTGTGGCTAAAAACACCCCTACCCATCAAGTCGAAGACCGGGAGCCCGACCCCTCCCCCCCCACTCAAAAATCCGTGGCGACGCCCCTCGATTGTAGGCTCTAACCACTACACTGGCCGGTCCGCTGTAGCCCGTCCACAACTACATAGTAGGACGGTGTCCTTGTGGGCCCTTAGAACCACTGGTGTAGGGCTCTCAGAGGTGCCGGTTGTGAACCCTCAGAGGCACTGCTGAGGGCCCTCACGGTCTCCGTTATGGGATCCTCAGAAGCCGGCGTAGACCCTGACGGAGATCTTAGTGTGGCTACTTATGGCCCTTTCACACGTAGCAACTTTTCAGTCGCCGGCGACAGCAGCAGTCGCCGGCGACCGCCAGCGACCGCCAGCCAACGATCGTGTGTGACGTAGGTATGACGTAAGCAAGTCGGTGGCGATCGCCGGGCCACGGCCGGGCAATCGCCAGCAACTGGTGACGTCAGATCCGCGTCACAGGCCAGTCGCCGGCGACTCTTCTCGAGCAGCGGACGCCGCCATGACAGTTTTGTCCTTGGTGAGTGGTTTAGGTGATTTGTGATGCATTTTTTTCCTAAATTGGTTGGTGTGGCTACCTTAAATTTGTTGCACAGTAGCATAGGGATTATTATCTTGTAGTTTGCTTGTCGTGAAGCTGTTGTGACTTGAATTTAAGCTTGATTCGACAATATTGGAGGGTTTATGTCATTTGTGGCGCACTTGCCCATGATCACCCATGATTTTTATTTGTGATAGGTAAATATGTATTTTTTCATCAAAATTGAATATTTCAATGACATTGAAATTGACACTAGTTTCATGAGGTAATGAAAACTTGCTTGTTGTGTCACAAGAACATTGTTTACATTCAGTATCAGTGCCCTTGAGGACAAAGTGCCTACCCATCAGTCAGCTATTTGCCTACCTATTCGTGCGACACAAGGAAATATTTGATAGCAACAAAATATTATATTGCTGCTCATTAATTAGCATGATCAAAATCAAACAGGTAGCTTTGCAATTTTGTTATTGTTTCTGCTGGAGTTTTCCTTGGTATCATGGATAAACAACCCAGGCCAAACTTAATCCGCATTGGGTTCGCATGTGTGTGCATGCTCACATGGCAAATGATAATCCATGGCTTATTAGTACATAAATAATTGCAGTATGCACGGTAGGTGGTAGGTATGTCATGTATTTTGGCAAGGTATTAGGTGGTATGTATTTTGGCCCTGGAG